TAAGTACAATTTGCTGACACTTTTTGATGTATAAACGTAATTTCTGTTATTTCCTCACCCGGAAGCCTGTATCGAGGAGGGACATATTGCTTTATATATACATTTTTCATCAAGCAGACATTGACTGAAAATTATACACCTTAATCACTTCAGGAGTAATTAGTGGAATAACTTCTTTTTATTGTTGACCAGTATTTTAGAAATTTCCTCAAAAGATTAATACATGTCAGTCTAAACATAACAAGAACGAACATTGAACTTTATTATTTTGTTATAAGCTACTTCGTTATTCTAAGACCTATCTGAAGACCTACCAAATTCTCAAAGCACTATTTAGGACACTAAACTCTCCTAACTTTTAAAACTCTATAATGTATATAATATAGGAGATTAAATAAATGTAAATGATGGTTACATTTAGATACCTCATCAAATCATATATGCCTTTTTAAGTTTTTTAAGCACAGCTAGACTGCAAATTGTTTACAAAATTGAAATCTTAATTCTTTTAAACCTTTCTACAGACCTATAGTTTTAAGTCAAAAGCAATTAATATACGGTAAATGCTGCAAGCACACTTATATATCTTTTGCTAAAAATAAAGCTCATAAGAACTTGTGACTTGTAAAGTAACACTTTGTAATCTTTATAATTTAAGACTGTCTTCTTTTCAAAATGTAAAAAATAATTGAAATGATTTTCTACAAAAGTTTCAATGGGATCTTGATGAATAAATTCCGTAACTATTTTATTTTTCGTGGCATATCGTAACATATTGGGGATGTTGGCAAAATTAAAATTATTTTTATGCATGGCAATTATATACAATACATACTTGTATACTGAACGCTCTCGCATAGACTTGTAACTAAAGGCTGTACACAAGAAAATAAATTTATTAGTGTCTAAAAAAGCTTTTAGTTACACGTCTATGCGAGAGAGTTCAGTATACAAGTACAACAGTTTGCCGCAGACCCCTCGTCTTACTGTGGGATTATTCTCGTCGCATTAAAAAATATAAGTGACAATCTTTTTTCCCAAGGAAAGGGAGTTCTAGTGGTGATCTCTGACATGACGAATATTATTACTATAACGAGAGTTTGCAGATATGTAGATATGCTCATGAGAATCATTTAAAATATCAAAGTTCTGCTGCTGAGTGTACATTATTTATTACTCTAAAGGTAAATTCTGAGTTATTTTTTCATTTAGATGAATGGGATTTTTCTCTTTCAGAAATATGTGAGCAGTAAATTAGCCTTAGAAAACAATGTGGAAGCGCGGCTGTGAACTGCCGGAAATTTTTTAAAAGACATTTTTTAACAAAAGCGGAGGTACCTATAATTCCTTAGGAAAAAATAAAAAAAACAACTTTTATTATTAAATTTACAAACAACTTTTATTATTAAAAAAGTCATTCCTCGCTTGAAGATTATCACTAAGAATTGGTATGTTATCTTTTGCATCGGTATCAAACTCCTCAAGTACGTCGCAAAAAGGGAGTCAGAATAACCAGTGCTAACAAGTGGAAAGCCTCTTGGCCCCCGGTGGGCCTATTCTGTGGCACCGCCCCTGTCGACGTTCCAATCGCGGACAGAAGGGAGAACGACACACTCCACACACCCCACGGTCCCACTACTGCTACATCAGCGGTGCAGCCACTGAGTCGCAGATGATATGGAGAGTGACGAAACACCATGCCACTACAACTTCCCCTACGATTCCGCCTGAGTTGCAGATATCAGCTACATAGCTGTAAACAAAGCTGGTAGTTTAAGTTAAACTTAGCAATTTATTTTATGATTGCGATGTAACTGTCAATTATGTTAGAATATATAAATATAATATGATAATGTATCAATTGGTGTTACTTTAGTGAATATGTCCACTTCAAGGGTTTCAAAGGAACCAAAACAAAGCAAATACCAAATGAATTGAGCCAAATGTATACGTTAAATTAAGGTACATGTTATCGGGAAAGAATTGCACTCTTAAATATTGAGTTCTCTTTTTAAAATTAACACAACGCCGTTAATTTGGGGTCGTCGCTTTTTTCTGATCTTTTTATTTTGTTTCGAATCTCACTTAATGTTGCTGTCTTTTAAAGTTTCTTTGTAATCTTGTATCGCCTCATATAAATAAAACTGAAAGTGAATTGATCGTAACTGCCGATTTTGTTTGTAAATCGTTTAAGTTCACCATGAGCGATGTTGATACTTTAACCATTCTGTAAAACAAAAACTCTATAGTCTGATTTACCAATATCATAATATACCTAACTTTTGAGGAAATTATTAGATATAGATTGTTTGTTTAAATCACTGTCATAATAATATTAAAGGAACAATAGTATCCAAACTAATATTCAAAATGCGACAGTGTGTTTGTTTATCATTATTTCACGTCGCAACGGAGCGATGTTATGGTAAATTTTGGGGCTCATCTATTTAAAACTGGATTTTGAGGTCTTCCAGTAAAAATATCCTAACGATACGGCATGTATTTAGGATTGCGGCTTTTTGCATGTTAAGTTAATGTACATATTCGTAGGTAATTTTAGCAGTTTTAAAAGTTGTGACACCTGTGCTGGAGAGAACCAATGGTACAATATATACTTGGTTCATTTTCCAAATTCTTGTAATTTCTTCTTTTAATTCTGTTTACTTAGTCATCTTGTCGTTTATTCATTTTTATAGATGGGTTTAGGAACTGAAAAGATGTATTGAGATTTTTTGTTAAAATGTTTTGATTTTTTATAAAATAACCAGTTTATATTTTCTTGTTATTACGTCGGTAAAATCTAAAATTTTTATGCATATTTGATCTCTCAGTAATTTGTACCTAAATTTAAATTCCAAAATACACGATTTACCAAAATAAAACAAAACCGAGCAAAGCTCGGTCCCTAGGTACTAGATGTATTAAATAAGTTAGGTTTCTGTCTTCTTCTGTTTCTGTTTGTTTGTTTTATCTATAAATTTAATGTCAGGTTTTGTCAGTTACTATAGCTCTATCAAAGTATATCTTGTGAGTACGTCTCTCCAACAACACAGGTACCACAGGATTTGATAATAAAACTCTCAGATTCTAGAATATAATTTCAGCCATTTGTTCGAGGCGTACAAATCAGCATGTGCTTGTTCAAGATCGTAGAGATGCCGGCCGTGTTTTACTTTTTTACGCCAATCATCCGATTTTACTTTTAAATATTTATATTCTATTATTCGGGTTTTTAAATTAAGTGGTGTAATTGTTAATTGTGTAGTTTAGTTGTAGTAAATTAAGTGTGTAGTTCACACACTTAATTTATCGTAGAATGTAAGTCACTTTCTGATGTTGAGTTAAATAAATCTCTTATATTTTTAACTTGGCCCTCCCATAGTACTTTAAGGTCTATTAGTTATCTACCACCCATTGCTCTGTTAACTGTCATTCTCGCTTTCGGTGATTTTGGGTGTAAATAATTTTAAAACAAAAAATTTTTAATATCTGTACTTGTTACATTTTATTACACCACACAAGACTGGAATAGCATAAGTATTTAACGCTATATAAAGATTTTTTGAATGAAGTTGCTTTTTACATATTTAATTTAATCGTTGTGTATATAACGTAATAAGATTTATTTTATTTGGACGAAATTTATAGTATTTGACTGGAGAATACCTAAATACTTATATATCTCATCTCATCCTATTAAGCTAAACAGATTATTTTCAGAGATATTGATGCTATTATATGTTTTGCCATGAATATGAAACGTTTTCCACTTATCGAGTCCAAAAGACATTTTTATATTGTGGCTAAATTGAGCTGTCATATTAATAAGGTTTTTAAGATCTTTTGTGGATTTTGCAAAAATCTTAATATAATCCATGTACATCAAATATGTTATGGCAGTGCTACTATTTAATTTATATCCACATGTCACGTTTCTTCTTTCTTCTATAATGGTTTTTCTTGCAATTTGTAACGTTTTTTATTCTTTTTTTTTTTTCTTGTGCCTTCATCCCGAACAGCGTTCCAGTCAAGTCACAACGACCGTCACCGATGGTACCAGGTAGCAACAATTACGCAAGCAGCCGTAGTGGTGATATGAAACTGCAACTGAGGCTTCAAGTGGCTTATTATTCCAGAGGCATGAGCTGTCAGGTCTCAGAAAGGATCGTAGCGTTTGCGAGCGGGATACGGAATAGCATTTGAGGGCACTTTGGACCATAAAAAATTCAATCATTCAGCAAAGACGTTGTTCAGAATAAGAAGAGGGCAGTGGCTTCCGCCAAAATAACGATTGTAGGTATACATGAGGCCTTTAATAACACCCCCGTGAAGGTTGGACACCTGCTGGGGTCAATGAATTAAAAGGATCGTCTGCTTTAAGTAACGCAGCCCTTATTTCGATAACCTTTGAACCACCTTTGAAATACATCTCACTTCGAACTCAATCGACGTGTTCTTGAGGTGGCGTAGATAGTAGGTCTGCACATTTACCACATGGCATTCTCTTCACCCGCTTTTTCAGAGTCATCAAAAGTCAGAAAAGCAACTTGGTTCGAATTTACGGTGATACGGGTTACGAATAACCTTATTGAGTCACATAAACGAAAAAAACGCCAACTAAAGCGCTTTCACACAGATACAAAGACAATAATGATAAATAACAATAAGCAAATAAAGTATCGATTTATACAGTAAAATATTTAACAAATTTGTGGGCAAGGACAATAAATAATATTACATGTAATAATGAGTATTTTGAGATAAATAAGCTTCTGCAAACGTTAAATGGCAAGTTTTACTTGTATAAGTATGATTGTGCTGATCTACAGAAACAAGAAGCAATTGAATAAACCAAATAAGTGACACTATTTGTCATCGAAATCCGTGAATGTCATAGATAAATTTCTACAATTAATTATTCGTATCTCATTGAGTTAATATTTGAACGTTGCAAACGATAGCTTCATACGAGGGAATGTAGTTCTGTACATACATTCAAAATGGTTACTCGCGAAGAAGAACCTCTAAAAGAGAAAAGCGAAGTAAAAAAGAAGAGTTTCAAAGAAAAAATAGCTTATATAAAAGAGAATATTACTTTAGAACCTGTTTTGGCAGGTTACGTGATACCCGGAGTGTTGTCTAGGCTTGCAAATCAAAATCTCAATCTGGATAAAGCATGCAGGGTCAACTTACGATACGGTGATACAGTATGCGATGCTCTTATCGCCAAAGAAGGAACCACATATCAAAAAGAAGAACTCATAGTTCAGGAACTAATAGCCTCAATGGAGACGTGGAAGAATTTAATATTAACGGCAGTACCCAGTATCCTAATTTTGTTTTTAGGCGCATGGAGTGATCGAACGGGAAAGCGAAAAATCTGCATTTTACTTCCAATACTAGGTGATCTATTCGCTTGCTTAAGTGGTATTTTCAATGCCTACTTCTTCTACGAGTTGCCGGTTCAAGTTACGATGTTCTTCGAGGCGTTCTTTCCAGCGATCACTGGAAGTTGGATAACAACATACATGGGTGCCTTTAGCTATATAAGTGATATATCCAGTGAGGAAACTAGGACGTTCCGAGTCGGCGTGGCGAACTTGTGCTTGACAGCTGGGGGCCCAATAGGGACGGCACTTAGTGGAATTCTGCTGAAATATATTGGCTACTACGGGGTATTTACGATTAGTTCAGTTTTGTATATTTGCAGCATATTGCATGGCGTGTTTTATATTAAAGATCCTGAAAGACCCAATCAAGAAAAAAAGAAAGAGGTAATAAATCAGTAGGTATTTTATTTTAGTAAAACTTATCAAGGCATTATCATCTTTTGGTACAAATATATTTTGCAAGTTGTTTAAATAACGGTTTAACTACTAATTAGCCACTAAATTTACCCATTTCAATTGATATGTTTTTGTTAGTTTTTCAAGTAGATTTATTGCAAGACGGAACTAATAACACGTTATATTTATATTGAATTATTTACTATAGACTGATATTTAGATATCAAAAAATATCAAACTCAAGAATAATAGTAAACACTTTAATAAATTGCAGGATAAAACTTTAGATACTTGGGGTTTCTTAAAAACGTTTTTCGACATACAACATGTCAAGGATACACTTACAGTTGCTTTTAAGAAGGGACCCAACAATAGAAGAATGAAATCAATATTGGTCCTTGCGTCTATTACTTTTATTTATGGACCAGCGTACGGTATGTTAAATTCACATTTTTTGCTATAAAATAATCTTATAAAACATAAAATAATAATCTCATATTTTTGTTAATGTAATAATGCAATAAAACCAATTTTCTAATTTATGTATTTATTATTATCTACTTACAAGATAGACGTCTTTATTAGAAACTCCACACCTCAGTCATGATAATATTAAACAAAAAGAGAAACAGTTTTACAAGAACTTGAATGCGAACTTCGAGTGACTTCAAACATAGTTACTGTCAATAAAATAACATACGCATTAAGTAACAATGAAAGACAGCCTTTTGCTCTTTTGTTATTAACAAACCAAGAGAAGACATCACCAATTTATTAAAAATTAAACTTCCAGGGGAGTATACGGTTCGCTATCTATTCACAAGATATCGGTTTAATTGGGATGCGGTGAAGTACAGCTTCTACAGCACATTTTATATTTGCATACATACACTTGGTACGTTTCGTTTTCTACTTTCATTTACTTTTGAATAGATTAATTTATGCGACAAACTTAAAATACACTCATAACATGTTTCCTTTCCGCTAATTGGCATTTCGTTTTAGGGGCACTCATTTCCATAAGTATTTTTAGTCGAAAACTAAAATGGGACGATTCTCTATTGGGTCTTATTTCGAACGTGAGTAAAATTGTTGGTGGTTTAGCGACAGGATTGGCGAGAAACAGCCTGGAAATGTACCTAGGTATTATTTCTATAACATTTTAACTTATTGTTAATGTATCGGTTTTACTGATTTATTTCTATTAAACTGAGTTTTTAATAAAATATTTATCCTTTCAGCGGTGGCGATTGAAATGTTCAATGCAACGTCATTTACAGCACTAAGATCTATTTCGTCGAAGCTTGCGACCAGTGACGAATTGGGTATAAGAAGCTTATTGTAAAAAAACAATAATTATTCATACACCTAAAAAGCATTTTTCGCATACAATCGAGAGTTTTTTTGGAGTTCTTGACTTCTTAGGCAAACGAGCATAGCGTGTACTTAATTAAGAATATATCCTTTTCAATCTTGAGATACAATCTTGTATTACACATAACTTTTTTTAGAAATTTATAGAAATATATAGTTTTATATTTATCAAACTTAGCGAGAACTTATTAAAAATTATAAGAGCATATGGGTGCATGTCATATCGCCGATGACCTACGTAAATAGTATTTTGACCTTTGACCTTACATCTCGCAGCAACATTCATGGCTAGGATATTTGATCGCCTTTATTTTAAATCGTTTCCATTTACCGGAATGTTTCCTTATTTTTGCTAAATAAGTCTTGATTTTTTTGGCATAAAACTTTTTAATTTACTCGTTGAACACAAAACCTTCCTCAAGCGACTTCTTCGCGAATCCTTTACCCGCAAAACAAAAGTTACATACTATAACAGATTAGTGACACTATATTAGTATACTATATAGTATTTTTTTTATCAAGTACGGATTAATTTAATTGCATAAATAAAAACCATTTAATTACACTGAATGGAATTTAAAATTTAGAATACTTTATTTTATTATATAATATAATACTCTCAATATTGATAAAGTCGTTTATTATGTACATATGTATAAAACAAATCGTTTTATCTACATCGTAGTTTTCATGTTTCTGTTATATAACTTTGAAATGTTTTTGATCTACAATGTAAATAATTTCTTTTCATAATACAGGAAAAATGACTTCGTTTTTTAATTTGATGGAGGTGGTTACGTCGATGATATTTGGACCTGCGTATTCGTGGTTGTACATGATGACCTTGAAAGTTGACGCTGGCGTTGTTTATTACTTAAGCACTGTCTTGACCGTTCCACCAATATTAATTTTTGTGTAAGTTTGAATTTACGTTTATGAGAAAAACATACTTGAGAATTTTAATAAACCTAATTTATGGATCAAAACCTTTGTAAATCATGTCTCTTGTATTGATTGATCGTTTGCTTATACGGGGTTAGAGCTGATATTGAAAAATTAAAGGTGTACTTAAATTTTTTACTAAAAGTTTAATAAGGAAGTGCTAATTGTTTTCGTGAACGTTGTAATAATACATTTAATATTAATTATTATCAGGTGGTTTTTCAAGGAACATCGCAAAAATAAAGGGCGAGAAAAATTCAAAGAAACTAAGAATGACGAAGAGCACAAAGATAGACATCTAAGCATTGATTTAACAGATAGTAAGATATTCATTGAGTAAAATAAAAGTTTTTCATTTTAATCAGCGCTGAAAAGTAATAAATAATTATTATCGTTTATTATTTCTTTTATTCTAGATTTAATTACCCGTAACTAAAATATTATAAGCGATTTTCTGTAATTTATTGAAATATCTTATAGTATTAGTAATTGATGAGTGTAGATACTGATGAATGAGCTTCCTCATACTGCCATCAGTGAAGGACCACGTCTAGCTATTCTATTTCTCTGCGTGATAGAATTCACAATGAAGACATCCGCAGCAGAACAAAGATAACTGACACAGCTCAGAGGTTTAGTAAGCTGTAGTGGCGATGGGCCGGTCATATAGCTCGTAGAACCAATAACCGTTGGGGAAGAAAGGTTCTCAAATGGCAGCCTCATAATGGCCATCGCAGAGGAGGATGACCCACCCTCCACTAGATGGGGTGACGACATATGCAAGTATGCGGGAAGACGATGGATGCAGGATGCATTTTGTAGGGGAGGCCTATATCTAGCAGTGGAATCAAACGGGATGAAATGATGACGAGCAGACGGTTCACATGATGTTAAGTGAATACCGCCGCCCATGGACATTTGCTACACCCGAGGGTTACAGACGCGTTAACAACCTTTTGAAAATTGGCTCCAGCTACCTCACTCACCAGACGAAACGCGAAAGTATTTGTCATACTTCCACTTTATGCTGGTCTTCTGTGAGGTTGTGGTACTTACCAGACGGGCCTGCCCATTCGTGCAACAGCCGAGGCTGCTGCGTGGCCCTACCACCGTAATTTTTTACCATTTATCTCACTTAGCAAATCATTCAATTGCTTACTACTCAAATGGCATTTTTTTACATTACATCATAAAGAATCGTCTTAATTTGGTTGTTTTTAACACTTAAAAAAATTAAACAGCAGTGACAATTAGGTTGGTTACATCGTTATGTTATTTTTATCATATACAACTAATACAGTAATCTCCGAACAAACATTCCTTTAATGCATTTAAGTGGTGTTGTAATTCATAACGATCTTTTGTTCAAATCTTTATCTCTTCATAGTCGATATGGAAGCAACGTCAACATACTGTGCAAATAATAATTACTTCATTTGTGAAGCAAATAGATACACATACATATAGTATGTTTCACTTTAACTTCTGAAAGTGAATGTAATAAATTATGTAATATTTATTTTTTAAACTCCATTATTGATTATTGATAATAAACAAAAGCTATATTATATAACCTGAGGTGGATAAGATAGATATGCACCTATATCATGGCCTTATGATTTTAGTACGTAATAACTACGTAGTGAATGCCTGTGGACATAATAACACATATACAAGATCATCACATTGTAGGACTTATCATATCCGCGTTTCCATTATGTGAAAGATGGAGAACCTATAATTCCTTACATCGCATACACGTGTGCCACTTATTTTTGTAGAAAAGAAATTTGAGGAACAGAAAATCATTGATGCTGGATAGACAATTTGATTATTTAATATAAGCCGAAACAACAATAGTATATTTTATCCAATTTTTGTAATAGGTCAAGCATCAAGCGCGATAGTACTGTTTTTCTATGAGAAACTCATATAGCACAATACGAATAATGTAAATAGTACATGCAAGTCTTATCAGGTAAAACCTGTAACCACTTACAACAATAAAACGTTGATGCACTTACACTATTGTGATGTTATCAATAAACCTGCACCCTTAATTTAATATTTGTTATAGGCAAATATCAGCTTAAAACATAATTATCTATCATTCTCCAAGGGCCAGGCTTTGTCTAGTGTTGTTGTAATTAATTTAACATAAGATATGAAATTAGAAATCGAGTGAACACGCATATGGCAACGTGCGTTAGGCGAGAAGTAAGAGTTATAAAAGTAGACAAGTAACCCTAAATAACTATAATCCTTTGGTGTAAATGGAATTTATCAAAAAAATTAAACGATACAAACACCCTCTGTGAGAAATTTGTTGCAATATTTTGTTTTGTTCTTCCAACCAGTTCTTTTTCGCGATAAGCCACTTAAGGAACTGATAAAATTAAAAACTTCGTTAGTATGTTTTAAACTGTCAAAGCGTCTGAAGCATACAATTATGACAGAATCTCAGGACAAAGGTACAGAAAGTCCAGAAGAACAACCTTTGGACGCATCAAAACACAATAAGGACCAATTTGAAAAGAAGAGTTTCTTTAAAAAATTATGTTACGTAAAATCAAATATCTCTGTGGAACCTATTTTGGCCGGACTTATAATACCATCGATGTTGGCTAGACTTGCGATCCAAAACTTGAACTTAGATAAAACGTGCCGAGTAAAACTTAATTTCGGCGATGAAATTTGTGACTCTCTAATTCAACGGAAGGGTAACTTAACATATTACGAAGGCGAAGTTCAAAAAGTCATTTCGTCAATAGAAGCATGGAAAAGCGTTATACAAACAGCACTACCGACTTTATTAGTTATATTCATGGGTGCATGGAGTGACCGAACTGGCAATAGGAAATTGTGCATACTTCTACCGATCTTTGGCGAGTTTCTTGTGTGCATTAGTAACGTCATCAGCACCGTGTTCTTTTATCAAGTGACAGTTGAAGTTACGATGTTCCTGGAAGCCATTTTTCCAGCAGTTACTGGTGGGTGGGTTATGGTTTATTTGGGAGTATTTAGTTATATCAGTGACATAACAAGTGAGGACTCAAGGACGTTTAGAGTTGGTCTAGTGAATTTATGCATGACTGCTGGCATCCCGATAGGCACAGCGCTTAGTGGAATTTTATTAAAATTGTTAGGATACTATGGAATATTTGCAATTTCGGGCACAATATACTTGCTGACGTTCAGCTACGGATTCTTTTACTTGAAGAAATGCACCAAGCCTGGAGTATGCGAAAATGAGAAGGTATAAATGTAAAAATAAATACTCATCATAAGTAACATGAATTTTGTTATATTTCTGATATTCGTTAATCTAAATATAATTATTTATTTACTAACAATATCGATTATTTATTTTAATTTATATAATCTTCTACATTTTTCCAAATTTGAGTTCTATTATTGTTCCAAGGTCACTTAAAAGCTGAGTCAAATTCAAGATCTGAGGAATAATTTACATTTTTGTTGTCTTAAATATTTTAGTTTAATGTTTTCTAACAAATAAATCAAAATAACAACCTACCCAATATATCTTACAACATGACTCACCTGTTATGCCAATCTTGATGGGATAAAAGCGGGAGTAGGATGGTTAAATTTAGTCCACAGAACTGCGATTGCAGCATTCACTATTATAGTTCTAACAATTTTTGTAACAAATATATAAATTTCTATTAAATACATATAAAATATTATACCGAATAAAAATGTTTTAACTTTTCCGTTTTAAGGTTGAGGCAGTGACTATTTCCGAGCTTGCAACTTTAATAAAAGAAACAGTCGTTGTTGCTTTCAAAAAAAGGGACGGAAATATCAGAAAAAAGATCATAATAACTCTACTGACCGTCGCTATAGTTTATGGACCAAATCATGGTAAGGACTGTTTAAGGGCCTCATTAATCTTCCTCTGTCAGCCGAGTATTTTACAAACTACCACTTCAAATATTGACTCGGTTATGCACTGAAATATTAATAATGATGCCAAACTATGTCCTTGAAGGACAAAAACTGTATTAAATTTAAAATAAACACGTAAAATCTAAACAAATATTAAGTTAATATGATGACGTGAACATTGTTAACTTCTATGTTCTACGTTTTTATTACAGAAAAAAACATAGCGTTACTATGTTGCTTATATTATAATTTTTAAATTAAAATACATATCAAATTACAGGTGAAAGAATAATTACATATATGTTTGTAAGATATCGTCTTAAGTGGGATGCTGTCAAATATAGTATGTATTCAACTTATAGCATCATTACACATTCATTGGGTAAGTGGCTTAAAATTTTTATGATTTTCCAGTAATTTTTTCTTTCAGTCGTATATCATACAATTCATATCCTTATAGCATCGGTTGTATATTATATAATTATATTAATATCGTTACGTGAGTGATAAATCTCGTTTCATTTAATAGTTTGGTTATATTTAATGTTTAAATTGAATAAAATGTGTATGTGTATTAAATTATAACTTCTCAACCCGTTAACTATATAATATTATTTATAAAACTTATTGAAGAAATATCTAAAAACATTCTTCAAAACTAAAGATGATTAAAATAGCGGTTGTTTTAATTAACTTCAGCAATGAAAAGTCATTTAAAAGTACCCATGTTGTTCTAATTATTTTAAAATAACATACTTAAGTTACAGTTTAGGCCAAAAGTCTTCTACATGCTGGAGCAATCAGTGGTACCAATCGTTTGGGACCAGACCGTTTGGTTAATATCAAATTCATAATGAAATTGCTTCAACTTTGACAAATATATATGATATATCCAATACCTTTAAGTTTCACAGACTATCTTAGTCTGTTAAATAGAGTTCACTCCGTGTTACTATTTACTTTAATTTGTTAATGAATCCCTCATTCAATATTCCAACTAAAAATTAACTGTTTAATTTTACAGGTGCTTTGTTTTCGATAAGCGTGTTCAGTAAACGATGGGGCTTCCACGATTCGGTACTTTGTCTCATTTCCATTGTCAGCAAGTTGGCCGGCTCAATACTTATTGCTTTCGTCAGAACTGACTTGGAAATGTTTATGGGTAAGTTGGTAAACAAATTTATAGATTATCGAAATAACCTTATGAAGCTTGTCTTATAAATGAACGATTTCCGTTTCATTCTTATTTATATTGAGAATATCTATATACTTAAGCTATGTAATTCAAATATTTGTTCCATTCTTTCTTTTATTTATTCGAATACCATACATGTTTAAATTAAACTATTATAGGAATTTTATAAACGGAGTTTTTTAATATCCTAATGTCACAGTTAATCCAGGCCCATGTCAATTATTTCATTATCTGTTTTATTCCGACCTACTCAAAAAATGCTTATGTTAAGATGTTTATTCATAATAATAGTGTCACGCATCATGTTTTGGAGGCTTTGGTGCACTTTCGCGAGAATTTGAGATATCTTAAATGCAGAACCAACAATTTTCAATGCTACATGTTAATCAACTTGTTAAATGTATTTTTATTTATTCTAAAAAATTGTGGCCACATTCAAAGTCAAACTTGGGTCTTCTTCGTGGGCTTCCATGTCAATCTCTTCCATGACTCCTCTATAATGTGGCTAATACAGCAAGCACTCGCTCAATTGTGGCTTTTCTCGATCACTGTGACGCATGCGTGAAATTTTAGTTTGTTATCTTCCGGGTTTTGCTTGACGTTCTATAATTCAACAGCTAGTTGTTTTTTGTCACATATTCCTTGTAATCCCTGAAATAAAGATTACCCAGCTATTAACTGCAAAAAATGGTGGTCGAAATCAGATTCTCTTAACAGTTCATGTTTTCCGTAAAATACTTATACTTTTATTCAGTGTAGTCATGTTGAGGTAAACATGAGGGAACACGAACCAAAATGGTTACTGCCAGAAAATATATTACAACGTAATACAACTCAAAGCATCTAGTAAATTCCGTGCGGTCGTAAAAACAGGCTGAATTTACCAAATTACGGTCTGCCATGAAAATGAAACCATAACTATAAATCGTTCATACTTTTCTTTTATTAATCTAAATGGTTCATTGCAAACAGACTACATATGAAAAAGAGAAGTCTTAGGCTATCTCTTGTTATGTTAGAACGATGTAAATTTTTAAAATTACAAAGTGAAGTAAAATTATAGTGACAACCTATATATGTCCCACTGCTGGGCAAAGGCCTCCTATCTACAGAGGATATCAGGGCGTAGTCACCACGCGGCCCCACGGCCGATTGGCGGAGTTTATAGAAAATATGCAGGAGGAAATCCCGATGTTTTCTTTCACCGCTGAGCACGTTATAAGTCAGAACTGAAAATTAACAATTTCATTGCGGACACCGGGGATTGAACTCAGGTTGTTGAATAGTACTAACTATTCAACAACCTGAGTTTCTAACTTAGTATGTTGAATCAAAAGCGAGCGCCCGGACAATGAGCTGTCACGGATTACAGATTATAAGTTACAAGCAAATGTTCTATTTCTGAAGTAACTATGATAATATATACTCTATTGCATTTAAGCATTGACTTATCTTGCAAAAAATAAGCAACAGCTGACGTACCTTGACAAGTTATAAAATACAACAGCTTGTTTAAGACCTAAGTCGTTTAGCATATAACGAAACGTATGTGGTAATTTAATAATTTAAATAGTTTCATATTTTGAACATATTCAATCAAATATGACACAACGAAAAAGTAATGATCTTAGGCGTATTTAACCCATATCCGTCACAAACTATTTACTGATTAGTAATCAATATTTATTTATTATTCTTCCAACACGTGAACATCATTTATTTGTCTGGTCTTTTGTCTTTTTCGATTCTTTCCATTTATATTTTCGTTTATATTTTATTTTCTTTCCATGTATTACAGTGCCGATCGTCGAGATTCTGAACGCAACAACATTCACATCGCTAAGGTCAATGGCATCTAAATTGGTTCTTAGCAAGGAAATGGGTAAGTTTATGGACAGAATATTGCCTCAACATTAACTCAAGTAAACCTCAGTTTCGAATTGTTTCGTGTCACAAGCATTTCTATATGTTAGTATTTTCTATATTAGTAGTCTGTACTTCTATTATTAAAAAAAATAATAGAATACTTAGATAACTTACATAATTTATTTTGGTACATTTTCCGACCGCTTACAAATTAAAAATTATTTATTAAACTTATTATACTATTTAGATAACTTACATATTTTTGTTCGCTTTTGTACAAGAACTCACGGAACATAGGTAGTGCTTAAGAACATCGTTAGCTAGCACCTGAAATTGCATTTGTATAAAAACTAAAAATGCATAAATTATGCTTTCAACCATCGCAGTCACCTCTGCTTGCAGTTACAAATACCAAAAAGTTTTATTTTCTATGTAAGGAGGGAACTATGGCATCTGAGCTTAATTTTTTTTTCTAAAATATTCATGAGTCCACTTTACCTCTAATTGTATATTCTTTACAAAAATAATTGCTTACAATACTGGAGGAAATTAGGTTATTACTACTTACACTTTTTTTTCTTCCAATAAACGCTAATTCCAGTGCATTAAAAATTTTATTTCAGGCAAAATGAACTCTTTATTCAGCCTAGTTGAGACACTCGCTGCCTTGTTCTTTGACCCAACATACTCAACGTTGTACTCAAAAACGATACCGATTTTCGCCGGGGCAGTGTACATATTTAGTGCTGTTATGACTTTACCTGCGATAGTTATGTTGATGTGAGTTTTTTAAATGTGTTCATACATTTTTTTTTAATTGTAACAAAAGTAGCATTAAAGCAGATCAAAATGTAGAAATCAACATCCAACATTCTTAAAGTGATAAGGCCATGTAGGAGCTTACGCTGTTGCAGGAATAGGCAGGCTCACGCGGAGAAGTACCAAAGGCTCATAAATGACCAACATAAAGTGGAAGTATTGTATAAGTATTATACCTGATATTAGGTAACTTGGTCCCACTGTTTTTGAAAGATTGCGACTCATCTTTTGTTTTATTTTTATTTTTTGTCATAAGTTGCCAAGGGAGTAGACGGTTCACCTGATGATAAGTGAGTACCGCCGCCCATGAACATCTGCTACACCCGAGGGTTGCAGATGCGATGACAACCTTTTGAAAATTGGGTTCCAGACACTCACCAGATGAAACGTGAAAGTATTACACTTCCACTTTACGCCGGTCTTCTGTGAGGTCGTGGTACTTACCCGGACGAGCCTGCCCATTTGTGCAAGAGTCGAGACAGCTGCGTGGCCCTACCACCGTCAAACTGATGCAATCCCTTAAGTGTTTACATTTCATGGGTGGAGTAAATCTCTTAACATCAGGTGTATTGCTTGCTCGCGTGCGAAAAACCTGGCAATAAAAAGCACTAAAAACTTTATTATTTCTTTGTAGACTTATCTTTAGGATCATCAAAAAAGGGAAAAGTAAGGCTAAGAGAAATTAAATTTCTCTCACAGAATAAATACAATACATTTTTAGTTTCGAACGTATAGAAACTATAGTAAAGACGCTATTTAAAAAAATCAGCATGAGCAATAAAAGGATTTTACAGTACCACTGTACTTGAATAGAAATCTTCATCTTTTCGTCTGGTGAGTGAGGTAGCTGGAGCCCAATGTCCAAAAAGATTGTCTACACATCTGCAAATCCTCAGGTATAGCAGATGTCCATGGGCGGCGGTATTCACTTAACATCAGGTTAACCACCTGCTTGCTTGATGTGAAAAATTACATAAAAAATCGGTTTTGCGGTTTCAGCAAGGTCTGGATTTTTTTTTCAAAATGACTATTAATGTAACTATTAATGTAATAATACCATATATGTATTTCTTACAGATGGTTATTTATGCAGCATAGACTAGAGTCGCGATCGGAACGCGAAAATAGAGTTAACACTTGTGATGAAAAAGTGTTAAACGTCTGATCATCAAGAAATCGACCATGTGTAAAGCTATATGTAATATTATAATTTTTGGTCAAAATAAAGTTAATTTATAAGCTGTGTTAGTTTAAAGAATAAAGTTAATTTATAAGCTTTGTTAGTTTAGAGAAGCAGATAGAAAATAAAGTAAATAAATGTTTATTAAGTTGTATACTTTAAATTTCGGATAACAACTCAGATAATCGCCACAGATTTAAAACATGTAAATAGGATAGGAGTTAATTTAGGAAAATAATGATCTCTATACTTTGTAATAAGAATATTTTATTTTGTAAATATTTTTCTGTACACATAATTATGTTTGTTTATAATTTAAACTACTGTATATGAATAAACTTCAATTATACTTACCAAGTTGACTTCATACAAAAACTTCTTTTATAGATTTATCTCTTTTAATTTTTTTATTGCCCCTTAGAAGTCTTAATATCATTTTAACCGCCAGTTCTTTTACTATTAATTTTGTGTTCCATCGAGGCGAAAAGTACTGTTTGAATCTTGCGTTGCAGGCTGTGGTGTTTGGGCTTATATTTAATTTTATTCATTATAGGATACCAAGATAATGGTAGCATACAACCCTATTGTCTATTCAAATTTGTTTCTTTTTAATTTTAATAGCTTCGCGAATCACTCACGGTCCTCCAAAGCACAATGTTCTTTTGCAAGCATCTGTAGTCTATCAAATATAACGTAATGGTTCTGGTGATATAAATTGGATTTAGACAGTGCAGACTTATTTGGTTTTATCGTCATCATCGTCATATTTTCATCCTTTCAAGTGCATTGATGAAAATAGGCCTACCTCATAAACTGCCACGAAGCACGACCCTGAGGCACCTGCTTCTAGAGACTTCAAGTCTTTGGTATCGTTTACATCTGATAGATTGAAATCAATTCCTCATCCGTTATCGCTTCTTCGAGCAATATGGCAGGCACTTCAACTAACGGAAGGGGAAGAAAAGTTTTCGAGTGGCAGCCTCGTATTGGCCATCGCAATGTATGGAGTGAGGACGTGACCAAACGTGCGGGGAGTCAATGGATGCAGGTGGTTTAGAACCGTGGATCGAGGATCTGTGGGGGAAACCTATGTTCAACAATCGACTCAAAGAGGCATAAATAATGATGCTGATGATGAAATCTATTAATATAAACAATGCCAGGGTGGAATGAAAATACACATATTTAGTTAAACTATTCATCGGCTCGGTATCAAGTGCCATGAATATTGCAGCGTAACTTCCTACTATCATAGTTTTCAAACCACAAAGGACGCCTCTTCTACCCTGTAGCGATAAAGTTACGAGTCACTTGAAACTGCTAGCAGGTGTATGTACTTATAGATCTATCAAGTACTTGGATTTATAGAATTCGAATAGATGTATTTATATATTTGTCGAACTTATTCTTAAGTTATTTTCTTCCAGTCTTAATATATGTATGTACATTCATAGCAGGGGCCACTTGCTTACGATGATCCTTCCTAGGTTGTGCAACGTGCTGGGTATTCTATTTCTACGCAAAGAAATTTTTAACGTTCCATACCTTAAACCGCCCCGACACCAGAGCTCAGTGTCCGGGCGCTCGCCACCATATAAGTTTTCAACTTTAAGTGCTGACTTATCACGTGCTCCTCGGTGAAGGAAAACATCGTGAAGAAACCTACATATTTTCGAAATAATAACAAGAAACATTTTTTTCGATGATATGTGAAGTCCGCCAATCTGCAGTGGGGCCGCGTGGTGGACTATGCCCTGATACCTTCTGTATAGAGGAGGCCTTTGCCCAGCAGTGGAACATGTATAGGCTGTTACTACTTTACTTTACTTTACCTTAAAAGATAAAAAAGGAACCCTTATAAGATCCCTCTCTAACCCGACTTTCTGTCCGTATGTCACCACCAACTTTCTCTAGAACGGGTGAATCTAGGACGTTAGATCGGAGGCTCAGTGAGCCCACTCTGGATGCTTGCGGGAGGGTGCAGGGGACAGGTTGAGGGTGGTAGAGGTGGAGCCACTCTCCCTGTCTTCTGCTACCGAGGAGGAGTCGCGGGAGAAGAGGAGTGTCGATATTGCGTTGGCCGCGCTATATATCGCGGAGGATAGGCCGCGACTCGGCGGGGCTGCACCGTTGATGCAGTGGTGGTGGGGCCGCGGTGGGAGAGGAGTGTCGGTATTATGATGCGCCGTTCTCCCTTCCCTCCGCGGCCGAAACGTGGTGAGCGATGGAGCCACAGACCAGGTCCGCCGCTGGGGGCTGGGAGGCTTGGTGCACAAATAAAACAAGATAATAAACAACATGAGAAACGAATACCTACACATAAGTTAGAGACTACTTGTTTTAAAACTTACTATTCAGGATAACTGGACACAAAACTACACTAACATATAAGAAATTTTCTTACATATATAAATATATTATATACATGCATACACGGACATATTATATACATACACAAATTAATATATAAACATACTCTTATATAATATAAGAGTGGGTAGATTCTGCCGACTTGAGTAAGCGCTCCGTTTTCCTTTTAAATGTATAGCTACTCTTAGCTATTTTATTTAGAGAGGTAGCGTATTTCACAGATAAATAGACTGGATGGAGAGAAGAGTGCATAAAATTATAACGGTGAGAAGGATATTCCAGAAGACGATTGTTCGTGGTACGAAGATCCTTATTGTTCACGGTTCAAAGGTATTGAGATATTTATAATTGCATCGATGTAGGCTTTCTTTAAAACTGCGTCACACTACGTGACGTCTAGAACTCCGAATCTAGCCTGTTAGAATGGAGTACTTAATATGAATCATCACTTTCTCACAATAACTGTGTAAAAGTTTTTGTACAGTTTACAAATACAGCATTTTCCCCCTGCAACAACTTAGTTGCTGATGTGACTACAATGAATTCGAAAAGTCATTGTTAATCCAATGCAACAGCATTTAGTGGCCAAGGTCGATTTGACAAACAAACATCAATTACATGATTTACGTCACGGTCGCTGATTGTGATTACCGGAAACTGACGCTTAACAACAATCATAGAGGCAGCAATGCGATTAACACAAATAAAAAATATGTTTTTATTACAGGCCAAGTGCGAGTTGGACTCGCACACGAAAGGTTCCGTACCATTATATATAAAAACGGCAACAAAATCGTGTCATGTATGGCAGCCCAACTTAAATACTTTTCATTTTATTCTATTTTTTATTATTTTTTGTTATAGCAACAACAGAAATACATCATCTGTGTAAATTTCAACTGTAACTATCACGGCTTATACAGCCTAGGGACAGACGGACAGACAGACAGACAGGGGAGACTTAGTAAGGAAACAAAGGGTCCCGTTTTACCCATTGGGTACAGAACCCTAATAATTATTGGTATTCTTGGCATTATTATGAAAATATACGTGGTGTGTTGCGAATTTGAAGATACAGGTATTGCGTATTACTACAGTACTATATTACTAGAGTACGATTATCGCACTGATATAGTTTTTATCTATTTCAAAATAAAATTTTGAAAATCTATCTATAAACTGCTGAGTAACTTGATCGAATCTCATCCCTAAATAGAGTTTACAAGAAATCCATTAAAAAAAGTATGTGAGGACTTATACACGTATGTAAGAAGTCATGTTTTTTATCGTAAAAAAAGAAAAATAATAAACTTTTCATCCCCTGTGCCAGTACTCTTTGTTTGTGAAGAAAACATAAAATGCAATTTATAACGGGTTAATTAAGTAACTTGGAATTACAGATAAATGTCAAAAGTTGTTATTGGTTGCCATGGTGATACCGCGATTGGTCGAAGTTCGTTGCATGGCGATCATTATTATCACTCTTTGGCAGTCGGTATTGGCGCGTATCGTGAAAATTATACTCTCATATTTTTTCCAAACGCGCCAAAAGAAGTATATCTTCACAAATTCAATTGTAACTGTATATTTTGGTTATCCATGCCAACTTGAAAGTCTTACAATCGTATATACATATGTGATATTATATTGTTCAGTACGCGAAAAGTAATTAATAACAACAACATTTTATTTTCATTCTGACACTATATCAAAGTCTCAAAACTATTATTTCCATTTATAAAATTTATGTTAACATCCTTCGATACATAATGAAATGCAAAACCTCTGCACTGTTTTATAAATTAACTCAGTTGTGACCGTCCATTATTTAGAATCTGACACAGTTGTTGAATAAATATTGGCTCAAAGATTCTTTCACACGTGCATTTATATCGTAGGTATATTAATCAAAAGCATCATTGAATTATGATGCACTAGCTGCTGCCCGCGACTACGTCTGCGTAGAATAGGCTGAAGGCGTAACATTCAGACAAAAAGACAGATATACATAAAATATGTATATAAATTATAGCCTATGTCTCATTCTATTAATTTTTTAAAAACATTATAATTAATTAACACATTTTCAATACTTTACGTAAATACGATTTCACGATTGTCCTTTAAAATTAAATCGTTAATTAAATTTTATTACGATTTAAAATGTCTTGCTATCGGTTATTTGAAAAGTGATCCATTTAAAATCTTTTTCTTCAAAGTTCGCAATAGTCCCATCAAGATTAACGAAGGTTTTGCAAACAAAATCAATTCATCGTCATCGTCATTCATATCAATTTCACAAACTATCTTTAGTTAATTTCGTTATGATTTTATAATTTTTTCCTGTTGGTTACTATTTGAAAATTTTAGCAACAATTCCATTAAATTTAAGCATTCTGGAGTATAAGGCGGTGTTGACCCTCTAAGTGGTGGCACTTACCCTGCTATACCCTAAAGATACACTCATCGCCTTTAGTGTTTTGCCAGACGTCTAGGTGCTGCTAGCAATAAGGAAAGTGGGACGCTAATGCAGATTATGGCTCAGAACAAAAACAACATATCAATAAACTGTCGAGTCGATTATCTAATGAGGATCACCTTATGGTCTCATG